TCTCTCTCTTTCTCTCTCTCTCTCCTTCTCCCTCTGTACTGGAGATCAAACCCATGGGTGCTTTGCCTGTGCTTTTTCTTCTCCCCAAGACAGGGCCTAACTAAGTTGCTATCAATGGCATGGTACTTGAAATCCTCCTACCTTAGCCTCCCAAGTCTCTGAGATTATAGGCATGTGCCATGGCACCAGGCTAAGATTTCTCTTTCTTGTATCTTTTTTTTGGGGGGTGGGGAGTACTAGGGATTAACTCAGGGGCATTTACCCACTGAGCCACATCCCCAGCCCTATTTTTTGTATTTTATTTAGATGTAGGGTCTCACTCTGTGTCTAAATAAAATAGACACAGTTACTTAGCACCTTAGTTGCTGAGGCTGGCTTTTTTGTTTGTTTGTTTGTTTGTTTTTTTGAAGAGAGAGAGAATTTTTTAATATTTATTTTTTAGTTTTCAGTGGACACAACATCTTTATTTTATTTTTATGTGGTGCTGAGGATTGAACCCAGCGCCCGGCGCATGCGTTACCACTTGAGCCATATCCCCAGCCCCTGAGGCTGGCTTTGAACTCAAGATCTTACTGCCTTAGCCTCCCAAGCTTCTAGGATTACAGGCATGCACCACTGTGCCGGGCAATTAATTAAGTCTGAATGAGCTAAATCCATCTGTGCCTCTATAATAAAGTATTTTCATGTGTATTATCACATCTCATCAATCTTAACAATATTGTGAGGCAAGTGATATTCCTATTATATATATACTAAAGGCAAAGGGCTCAGGAAGACTGATTGGCTTTCCTAGAATGAAACAATAGTATTAAAATGGTGCATTTTATCTCTTTTTGTCTCCTTTTTTTTTTTTTTCTTTTTTCCCTTTTTCTTTTTTGGTGGTGCTGGAGACAAAATCCAAGGTGTCACACATAGTGGGCACGTTTTACCACCCCAAGACCTTGAAAGAGACATTCTAAATCCAAATAGTTTTGTTTTTGTTTTGTTTTTGGAACTGCGCATTGAACCCAGAGGCACTTTACCACTGAGCCATATCCCAGCCCTTTTTATTTTTTATTTTGAGACATGGTCTCGCTAAGTTGCTTAGGGCCTTGCTAAGTTGCTGAGGCTGGTGATCCTGCTACTTCGGCATCCCAAATTGCTGGGATTGTAGGCACCACACCTGGCCAAATCCAAATAGTTTTTATTCTAGGTCAGATATTCTCTTTATTTCACTTTGACACTACTGTGATTTTCATCCCAAAATTATTAATGAATTGATTCTGTAATCATATTAAAGTTCATACCAGACTGGGAATATAGCTGAATGGTAGACCACTTGCCTAGCATGCATGAGGCTCTGAGTTGGATCCACAGCACCACAAAGGAAAAAAAAATTATCAAAATGATTTTGCTTAATTATTCATATAAATGAGTAATAAATATAAAATGTTCATATAAATTTTAAAATTTTTGCTTTTTTTTTTTACTTAACGGCTTTATTGATCTACAGTGTCATACCATAAAGTTTACCCTTTTAAAGTATTCAGTTCAGTGTTGTTAGTATAGTCTAGTGTTGTACAAACATCACCACTAATTCCAAAACATTTTAATTACCTCAAGAAACCCATTAGCAATGGCTCCCCACTTTCCCATTTCCCAGACTAACAACCACTTATCTACTTAGTCTAAGGTTTGGCCTGTTTTTAGAAATTCCACGTAAAGGGAGTTGTCCATAAACATTTAATGGAACAAAGTTTTTTTGTAATCTGAGAAGTTCTGTTCCATTATAGCCTTTGCACTGATTTTCATGTTACTTAAGTAGATCACCTTTTAATCTGCCTAGGGCCTTTTCCTGTTTGGTGTTCATGGAATAAATAAACCTGCTGACGTGTATATGTTTCCTTGTTCTTGACCTTTGCTCTTCACATGTCTTAATAGTGTGTTCATGGTGTTGTATAACCTGTTCTCAGGGCTCAGGTATCTGGAGCTAAGTAACTTTTATTCTTAGTTGGATATTCTTACTCCTATTTAAACAACAACAAAAATAGTTAATTCCATTTCCAATAACTTTTAGTTTGTTTTAAGGTTGTTATAAATCACAAGAGAATTAAAAAAAAATTACTTCTTTGGAAGTAGAGTTTCTCTATGTTATTGTGTTATTTTCTGTGTGGGTCAAGTTTTACAA